ATTCTTCTTCTCTCTCTCATTTCCCTGCCTGTCTATTACTGGCTCCCCTGTTGCTGCGGCTGCCGTGATGACTGCCGCTTCTGTTGCGGGCGTCGTCTGTGTGGGCTGGCCATGGTGCAAGGTCCGCCCAAGCTTGGCACGTGTGAATGGAAGGTTTCCACGTCTGCGAGGGCGTGGACGCTGTTTGTCTGCATAAAGGTGCACGGCGCCAGGGGAATCTGTGCTCCTGAAGAGGGAAGGTGGGTTTGAGCTACGTATTCTTTTTTCTTCTTTGGAACAACAATAGGTTTATTAATTTTAAGAAATATCCATATTAAACCCAGGGCTCCAGCAGCGAATCCTACAGTGTCTTTTAACTTGTTCTTCGAGTCTAGATTCATTGGACAGGTCATTTCATTAGTTCTCTTGGATAGAATTCTCCGAAAATTGTTAGTGTTTAAGGCCCTGATATAACGAGACTTGCATTCTTTGTTTAATTGGTCTTTTGTGCATAAGTCAGGCGTACCCAATGCAAAGGTTTTTCCGTTATTATTTTTGTTAAAGTATGTGTAATGGGCTAATCACTTGCACAGGTCTGCGTGTCCGTTAAATCTGGGAATGAGAATCTCCACATTACTTCAATTAATCTCACTGTTCTTGGCCAATTCTCGGTCAAAGAGAATAAAGCAATTTTTTAGCTCGTATTGCCTTCGCTACTATTTATTTCGTGTATACACGTTCCACTGATATCTAAGAGAACAAATGTACACACGATGTCCAGTCGCAGGTGTGGTTTTAGCTCTTAAGTATTACAGTTTTACCGATTTGTAATGTAAAAGCCAGTGGTCCTTCTTGGAGAACCAGCGCCGGTGCAACGTTCTCGGAGCCCGACGGCGCCGCGGCTGTGTCTCGCGCCGTACACTTGTTACAGGTTAGCGAGCGCGAAAGGGCGTGGGGGTCTGGGTCACCAGGGGGTCATTACGTCAAGTACGCGCGAACCTCCATGCCGTAGCGCTGTTCGTCATCCTGTGGGAGGTGAGCACGTTAGGGGCGAGGTAAGGCGAAGGGGGGGACGACGAATGTTCAAGACGGACTCTTCTCCAGGCGAGTTGGGCGTTCTTGGGACGAACGTTTAGGGCGACTTCACACAGAGACCCCATTATTCTCACTATTTTCGGAAGCCACACGATATTATACGGAAAATTTACTGCATCATAATTATTTTCACTTTCTAACTTTTCTGAAACAGACACAACTTTAGGTATAGACACTAATTGTACATATGCACACAGGAGTAACACAGTCTAGGTATCTGACATTAAGCACGAAGGCAGAGAGATGAGAGAAGAGTAAGAGCGACGGAGAGAGCGGGGAGGGAGAGAGGAGACGGAGGAGGGAGAAGGGGGGAGGGGGGGGGGGGATAGGGGATGAGAGAGGAGAGAGAGAGAGAGAGAGAGGGGAGGTAGAGGCAGCAGAGAGAGGAGAGAGAGAGAGGGAGGAGAGAAGGGAGAGAGAGAGAGGATGGAGAGAGGAGGAGAGAGAGAGAGAGAGGACGGAGAGAGAGAGAGAGATGAGGAGTACACAAAGGCAAAAGAAGGGCGTGCAGAAGGCAAAGACACGAAGTAGATGAGGAGGGTGAAAGAGCGATGGAGAGCGGGAGTGTCCGAGATGATACGAGTCAGAACAGACGAGGCGGGGAGAATGCGAGAAGGACGGAGAGCGAGAAGGGGGGGAGAGCCGCGAACGGGGGAGGCGAGGATATGGCTGAGGTGGAAATAGGCCGGGAGAAGAGGAATGGGCGAAAGAAGAGTAACAAGGCGGATGTGAGAAGGGCGGAGGAAAGCGAGAAACGGCGGGAGTGAGAAGAGGCCGGGAGAAAGCGAGAAAGGGGACCGAAACCGAGAAAGGGCGGTAGGGAAAGCGAAGAATAGGGCGGGAGAAGCGATGAAAAGGGCGGGTTAGAAAGCCGAGAAAGGGCTGGAATGAGAAAGGCGGATAAAGGCGGAAGGGGCGGGGGAACGCTAAGGAGAAGGGCGGAGTGAGAACATCGGGCAAGAGAAATGGTAGGGCCGGGAAAAGCGATGGAAAGGGAGAGAAAGGAGGAAGGGCGAGGAGAAACGGAGAAAGGGCGAGTTGAGAAGACGCGGGAGGGATAAGAACGAAAGAAAGCAAACCGAGACAAGGGTTGAGAGAAGCGAGAAAGGGGCGGCGAAGAAAGGGGAAAGGGATGGAAGATAAGCGAGAAAGAGCAGATGATGAGGAAAGGCGGGGGAGGAATAGATCGAGTTAAGGGCGGTTGATAAGCGGGAAGGGCGGAATAGAAAGGCGGAGAGCGAGAGGGAAGGAGTGAAGCAGAAGGGCGGGAGTGAGGAAAGGCAAGAGGAAAGCGACGTAGGGCGTAGAGAATACGAGAAATGGCGAGAGAGCGAGAAGGGCGGGAAGGAGAAAGGGCAGGAGAAAGCGAGGAAAAGAGCGAGAGTAGAAGAGGCGGTGGAAAGCGAGATAGGTGAGGTCGAACTGAGAGGGCGGAGAAGCGAGGAAAGGGCGGTGAGAAAGCGAGGAAGGCGCGGGAATGTAGTAAAAGAGCGGGAGGAAAGCGAGGAGGGGCGGTGAGAAGGCAAGCAAAGCGCGAGCGTGGAGAAAAAGGCAGAGAAATGCGATGAATAAGGGGGAGAAGCGAGAATAGGGATGAGAGAGAAACGAGAAGGGCGAGCTTTGAGAAAGCTGTGAGAAGAGCAAAAAACGAAGGAGCGAGGAAGGGCGGGAGAAAGCGAGAAAAGGGCGGTAGAAAGCGAGAAAGGGCGGGAGAAAGCAAGAAGGGACAGGGAAGCTAAGAAAGGGCGAGAGTGAGAAAAGGCAAGAGAATAGCGAGATGAATGGCGATCGGGAGGGAAGCGAGAGAGGGCGAGAGAAGCGAGAAAGGGCGAGAGAAAGGCTGAGAAAGGGCTGAGAAAGAAGGTGAAAGGGCGAGAGGAGCAGAAAGGGCGAGAGGAAAGCGAGAAAGGGCGAGAGAAAGCGAGAAAGGGCGGGAGAAGCGAAGAGGGCGGAGGAGCGGGAGGGCGGAAGTGAGAACAGGGCGGGAGAAAGCGAGAAGGGGCGGGAGAAGCAGAAGGCGAGAGATGAGAAAGCAAGAGGAAAGTCGATAAAAGGCGGGAGAAAGCGAGAAAGGGCGAGAGAAAGCGAGAAAGGGGCTGAAGGAAGCGATGAAGGGCGATGAGTAAGCGATGGAAAGGGCGAGAGAGAGCGAAGTAAAGGCAGGGAGAGGGCAGGAGAAATTAGAGAAGAGCAGAGTGCGGAAGGCGTAGAGAGCGAGAAAGGGGGAGAAAACGCGAGAAAGGACGGCCGAGAGCGGAAGGGCGAGAGTGATAAAACTTGGGAGAAAACGAGAACGGGCGCGGCGCCTCCCTGACCAGCATGTGCGAGGCGGACGACGTCAGAGTGCGAGGCGTCGAGAACGTTGCTGCCGTTGATGCTGATGATGATGTCGCCCACCTCCAGCCCACACGTCTCCGCGGGCGTGTCGGGCTCGATGGCCGACACGACGACCGGACGCGACCCGTGTATCCGGAACCCGAACTCACCCGACTCCCGACTCACGGTCACGGCCTTGTTTGTCCGTTAGATTAAGCATGGGGAGCGAGGGACGTGAGGGAGGGGAAGGGGGTAGGTGTGGGGTGGGGGCGAGGGAGTTGTTTCAATTAGTGATCTTATTTAGACAAATTATGATATTGTCTTCGCTAATCTACTACTGGTATAATTTGCTTTATTTTTTTCCATAAAGTTAATGCTTCAATACAAAGTATATCATGTATAATACATTAAATTACTGAAGTTGGTAATAATAATAGCACTAATTATAACAATAACAAAAGCAATAATAATAAAACCAATAACACTAATAATGAAGAAAATAATGATAATGATGATAATAATAATAATAATATAATAATTAATAATAATAATAATAATAATAATAATAATAATAATAATAATAATAATAATAATAACAACAACAACAGAACATAATGATGATGATGATGATGATGATGATGATGATATGATGATATGATAATGATAATGATAATAATAATGATAATAATATAATAATAATAATTAATAATAATAATAATATAAATAAATAATAATAAAAATTAAAAATATGATAATAATAATAATAACAATAAAAAAAAAAAAAAAAATAATAAAATAGTAATAGTAATAATAACAATAACAATAATGGAAATAATAATAATGGTAACAGTAATAATAACAATGATAACAATAATAATAATAATGATAATAATAATATAATGGTAATAATAATAATAATAATAATAATAATAATAATAATAATAATAATAATAATAATAATAATAATAATAATAATAATAATAAATAATAATAATAATATAATAATAATAATAAAATAAAATAATAATAATAATAATAATAATTGAATAGTAATATAATAATAACAATAATGAAATAATAATAATGGTACAGTATAAATAATGATAACAATAATAATAATAATGATAATAAAAATAATATTGATAATAATAATAATAATAATAATAATAATAATAATAATAATATAATAATAATAATAATATAATAATAAGGATAATAATAAAAATAATAGTGATAATGATAACAATAACCATAATAATAATAATGATGAATGATGAATAATAATAATAATAATAATAATAATAATAATAATAATAATAATAATAATAATAAATAATAATAATAATAATAATAATAATAATATAAATAATAATAATATAATAATAATAATAATAATAATAATAATAATAATAATAATAATAATAATAATAATAATAATAAAATAAATAATAATAATAATAATAATAATAATAATAATAATAATAATAATAATAAATAATAATAATATATAATCAATAATAATAACAACAACAACAATAATAATAATAATAATAGCAATAAATAATATAATCACCATCATCATCATCATCATAAAATAGTGACAATAATGA